CACGTTATGATTGGACTCATCTAAGGCTACAAGATTTTAAATCTATCAGTGAGTATAATTCTGTTATGTTCAGAATTATTTCCCAATTGAAATTATGTGGTGATAATATTACTGATCATGATATGTTGGAGAAAACTTTCACCACTTTTCATGCCTCGAATATGCTCCTGCAGCAACAATATCGAGAGATGGGATTTAAAAAGTATTCTGAACTTACCTCACATCTTCTTATAGCCGAGCAACATAATGGGCTATTAATGAAAAACCATGAAAGCCGACCTACTGGTTCTTGTCCATTCCCTGAAGTGAATGAGACGAACTTCCACCAAGCTAAACGTGGAAGAGGTCGTGGCCCAGTCATGGTCGTGGTCGAGGAAGAAATTCCAATCATGGTAATAATAATGCACCATAGAAGCCTCCTCACCACCGCAGTGGAAAAGGAATGAACAAAAGTATGAAGCGGCGCAAACACCAAATGCAGAAAATGCATGCTATAGATGTGGAGGAAAAGGGCATTGGTCACTTACCTGTCGTACGCCAAAGCACCTGGTTGAGCTTTATCAAACCTCCCTGAAGAAGACAGAGAAAAATGCTGAAGCAAATTTTATTTTTGAAGATAATTTAGACTTTATGCATTTGAATGTAGCTGATTACTTTGCACTCCCAGAAGGAGAAACAAGTCATGTAATCGGAAGTGAATCTGTAGAAATGTAAACATTTTAATTTTTATTGTTTGTAATAGATAGTATGGTTATGTAATTGTTGTACATAAATAAAAGTTATGCTTTGATAATGATGTTTACTAAAATATTATTTATTTAGGTTATTTTTAAAGAATATGGATAATCCTCAAATTATGTTTGGATCAAAGACAAATCATGAAGATATTTGTGTTATTGATAGTGGAAAAACTCATGCGATATTCAAGGATCAGAAATATTTTTCTTATTTGCATAAGGAAAAAGTAAATGTTTCAACAATTTCTGGTAATATAAGTTTAATTGAAGGCTCCAGAAGAGCCATTATATTTCTGTCTAAGGGAACAAAACTTATTATATGCAATGCATTGTTCTCCTCCAAGTCCCGAAGAAACTTATTGAGTTTTATAGATATCCGCCGAAATGGGTATCATGTTGAGATAATAGATGAAATGAACAGGGTATATCTTTGTATTACAAAAAATATTTCTGGCCAGAAATGCATTGTAGAAAAGTTACCAACTTTATCTTCTGGTTTATATTATTCAAAAATTAGTACAATTGAAGCACACTCTATCGTAAACCCGAAGTGTATGGATTCAAAGATTTTTGTGCTTTGGCATGGTCGTTTGGGCCATCCTGCATCAATAATGATGAGACGAATTACTGAAAATTCGAATGGGCATCCATTAAAGAACCTGAAGATTCTTACAAATGACGAATTTTCTTGTGTTGCTTGTTATCAAGGCAAAATGATCACTAGACCATCACCAATGAAGGTTGGCATTGAATCCCCTGCCTTTTTAGGGCGTATATATGGGGATATATGTGGACCTATTCACCCACCAAGTAGGTTGTTTAGATATTTTATGGTCATAATAGATGCATCTTTAAGATGGTCTCATGTGTGCATACTATCATCTCGCAACCTGACGTTTGCAAAACTATTAGCCCAAATAATTTGATTAAGGGCATAATTCCCAGATTATCCAAAGGCTATTCGCCTTGATAATGCTGGAGAATTCTCATTTCAAGCTTTTGATGATTATTGTCTATCAGTTGGGATAAAAGTTGAATATCCTGTAGCTTATGTTCATACTCAAAATGGCCTTGCAGAGTCACTTATTAAACGCCTACAATTGATAGCAAGACCACTACTTATGAAAACAACATTGCCCACTACTGTTTGGGGCCATGCT